AGTCAGTTACATGCCGTCATTTTTTATACCAAGACTAAATGAAAGTTGAAACCTGGAGCCGCTTTGTGACGTAAATTCTGCGCCAGTGCCGATTTCTGAAATGAATTCACTGAAACAAACTCTAAAGTCATACGAGCAAAAAAAGATGCAAAAATAATAATATTTGCATTTGAGGACAAATAATTAGCCTTTTTTAAATAAACTCGAAACAAAGCGAATGAGGTAACAGAGAGATAAAGTATTTTCCCATTAAAAAAGTGCTTAAAGACGAAAAACACAGAAAAGGTGAAGCAGCAATTCCCCCAGAAAAAGCTCTGGGTTTAAATATTCATTCGAAGAGAAAAGCATCAACAAATAATTTCCCCTATTTTATGTGGCTCAGTAATAAAGGGAAATTCAAAATTTCTAATGATTTTTATATAGTCACAAATTTTTAAAACTGTCTGGAAGCACAGGCTCGTTATGGCTTTTGCAGCATCTTTAGGTTTACACCAATCCATATACAAAAAAGCGTAAAGTCAATCATTTTTATGCGATTCGACCTTATAACAAGAAAGATATAAGAATATTTAAAGAAACCAGTTTGATCGGATCTATTGGAGTCGGTGGAGAAAGTTCCAATGTTAACAACCATCGATACATTCGAATCGGTCGATAGTGCACTATCCAGAGAATTGCCGTGTACTTGCACTGGCGTATGCCGATCCCGATCGCTCTTACGATGCAGCAGCAGGTTCCTATTTGTGAGCAAAAACACAGTAAAAAATTTCCGGAGCAGTAAAAGTAGGTCGGGTAAGAATAAGTGCTAAATCAAACGAATGCGTCTGCGTGCAGAAATGTTTTCGGGTCACTGGAGATACCAGCGCTATAAAAAGTTTTTTACATCGAGAAATGATATTTCGGCCTATCTGGAGGTTATAAACGATCAAAACTCTGAGACCATACACCGCATCGTTTAGAAGTTATAAGCTGTGCTTTAGTATGGACCTGAATTCAAATGTTAAAACACATGGTATGGTTTGAAGCTGATTACTACTACATCTCGTTACATTATTATTGCGGATTAGAACATCAAAATTCGGGTAGACAAGCATACTGCTCTGAAATCATATCAACTTTAACTTGGACCTGATGTTTCAGGTCATGCGTTATCAATGCTGCATTTTATGGTCAACACGAAGAACAGCAAAGTCGCCCAGACATTCGGTGTGGAGAACCGATGTTACTGGGGTGCTTTCACGTGCTAGGCTGCATATTTCAAGCGTGTACTTATCGTCTGTTCGGTGTGGGGTGAAGACCGATTGAGTGATTGTTTAATTCATGCAGTCAATAATATGTTTAAAATTACTTCTTGAAGTTCTGCTAATGTCAGCACATATTTATTTGGATTTTAAACATAAGGCACAAAAATAGAAGGTCTAAAAGCCGATTTAACGGTTGTAGTTAAGCGTATTCTCGATTCTGTTTCGAAAATAGCTCTTTACTTGGATAAAGTCGTTGTTCAAAAGATTACTTCTTTCTGGCTTTATGAAGAGCGCACGAAAAGTTGCTTTAACTAATTTGGCGCGAACCATCGCTGTTACTGTGTCCTCCAAACCACTACATCTGTCAAGTTACCATGTCAGTTTCGTGTTATAAATATGCGGGCCAAGCTGATATCACGTAAAAATACCGCATTTCAACATCTTACTTGTACTTCTGTCGTTTGCTAACGGCAGTTTGTGGTAACTCCAGAAAACCCGAACGCCTTCTCGAATCCAGCGGATCGCATGGAATTGGTTCGGTATTCGATTCAAATGAAGTTGATGCAGACTGTTCGGTTGAAGACTGTTGCTGGGCTTGCTGCACTTCAAGACTTCGCCGATCAGCCCAAAGTTCCAAACACTTTTGACTTACCTCATTCTGAAATTTTTAGAAGTCCTTTATTTTCATGAAGTACATGCCAGCAGCGTTGTTTTACAAAAAAATTTGAAAACTTCCTAAAGTTGAAATGTTAGCGGATCCCGATGCTCTCGTTCAGAGAAAATTACTTACGTTAGGCTTTAGATGGACATTGAATTGATGCCTCGCGACTAGTTGCCGTTGTTTCGAGTCGATCTGGCGCCTACATAAATCTTTCCCATCGTATAAACTTCCCTAAAGCCAATGCGTTTACAAAATGTTGCACAAAAGAGTACGTAGGCTTCGCGGGAGTTGAAAAATATTTCAGTAAAACATTGTAAGGGCCCAGTTATTTCCCAATGTTTTATAGAGAAGACAATGCTTCAACATATCTCGCAAAAAGTTGTGCGCCAAAGGTTCTGATTCCCAAGCTGACAGCTACTTAGTAAAGCTTCAGCAAGAACTGCTTTGAGCCCAATGCAATGACGCGTGAACAAGACTAAGCCGGAATTATCGAAAAAAAAAATACTTTTGAAAATATCTGGTGACGAACAAATTTGGTACTTTTCGAATGTCACAGTCGATTGAAAACATTTGGTTTTTGACAGCAACTTAAAAAAATTGGAAACGAGAATTATGCGAATATTCTGCAAAATTTCAATCGCATTTAAATGAAAGAAGATCAGAAAATTTACTGAGAAAACTTGATAAATCATTGGCAACGCGCACTGGAAGA